AAAAAAAAAAAAAAAAAAAAATTACACTTCCCAATCAATTTACTCAGAAGATTAGGTACAGACGGACGAGTTGCAACCATACACCTCATGAAAAAAAAAATGCATACATTACCTCAAACACGATGAAAGGAAGTGAAACCAACAGAGTTAGTTAGGGTTTCTGATTCTGAAAGCAATCACATAAACTGCACCTTCAGGGAAAACAATGGAGGACAGGAAGAAAAAAACACGTGATTGTTTCGAAATTTGGTGAGAAAAAACTCATGAAATTCAATTCAGAAACCCTAAAGAGTATGTTTGAATGAAGGTTCAGACCCAAAACCGGCCAAATATTCAAAAATTTATTAAATACTAGAAGTGTTGAATCGATATTTACTTTATTAATATTAATATTTATATATATAATAATACTTTATTTAATAATATTTATATATAATACTTTTATTTATTAAATTTAACATATAAAAAAAATATTCAGAATATCAAATATTTAAAAAGTTTTTGAATACTATATTCATATCAATTATATTTAACATGTATTACTATTTTTTATAAAGATATTATCAAATATATATTCAATAAAAAAAAATCAACCGGGTGACTTTTTGTTGGTTTTGATTGGTTCAACATGTTGTTCACAGTTTCGTTCATCAATTCTCCGATGACATGTTTATTCTAGAAAATTAGACTGATCGATTCTGGATCCAATCGATAGAGCTAGCAGGCCTGATTTGGTTTAGAAAAATAGTGGTTGGTTCACAAGTTTACAAGCCTTCGATGATTCAAGTCGGAGGTCGGATCAATGTCACGTATAGGAACTTAAAACATAGTTATTAACATAAATTAGTACAACGCCTAAATAATTTTTTATTAAAGGAGAAAATTATCTCATGAACTAACTAAAACATAAAACATTGCATATATTCAAATAGTTTATATGCAAACGTATACAATTATGCACAAAACTTACCTCTTTTAAATAAAATAGTTGTATGCAATTGGCAACTAGCCTAAAAACTTTAATTTATCTCTCTTAGGAAAAACCTCCACGCCTCACGTCATCTCCGTTCTAAAAGGTCCAGCCAGAACAACAAAACAAAAGAAAATAAAAAGAATCAAGTCCAGCATAACAAACACAAAAGAAAAAGAATCAGATTCCAACCACTACAATTTTTTTATGCAATAGGCTGTCATTTGTTGAAAAAATAGAGTCTCATTTCCTTATAAATAGAGAGCAACGGGAAGAGCTGAAAACACACCAAATAGAAGAGAAAGAAAATAAAGAACAGAAACGACATTCAGTTTCTTGAGTGTTATATTTTTCAATGAGAGGAAAAATAGAGTGTTTGAGTAAATCCTGTGAGTGTGAGAAAAATACACCGAGTTATGTATCATATCTATTACTCCTTGTTTAAGAGTGGAGTCTCATTAGGTCACTATATTTTACATTTCTAGTGTATGGGGATATTGTAATTATCTTGAAAATATAGTGGAATTTTTCACAGATTGTCTCGTAGTTTTTTCCTTTACATTGGAGGTTTTTCCACGTTAAATCTTGGTGTCTTATTTCTTGCATATTTTATTTATTTGGGATATTCTTAGTACGCTCTGTGGTTGCATTTTAATCTGATCTTCCACATCAGAAAAGAATTATTCTTGTTTTATTGCAAGAGATTTCTTTTGTTATTTTTGAGTTGTTGGGATTGGGATTATTGTTCACCATTTTACCCAGATATATTAATTTATACCTTCCGCATTTGCACATTTGAGCCCAACAAGTGGTATCAGAGCTCAAGTTGAGCTCTGTATCAACCAGTGTAAAATAAATGGAGGAGAACGTGGGTACCATGGTGAAACTCACAGCAACAAATTACTCCATTTAGAAGCCAAAAGTGGAGGACATACTTTTCTATAAAGATCTGTACGATCCTGTAGAAAAGGGAGAAAACAAGCCAGATGATGTGAAGGATGACGATTGGAAAAAGTTACACAGAAAGGCTGTCAGTTTAATCCGACAGTGGGTGGATATCAGTTTATTCCACCATGTTGCCACAGAGTCAAAAGCTCATACTCTGTGGAACAAAATTGAACAAATATACCAAAGGAAGATTGCACAGAATAAAGCTCTCGTCATTAGAAAGTTTGTAAATTTAAAATACCGGGATGGAAGATTAGTTGCTGAGCACCTGAATGAGTTTCAAGACATGGTAAACCAACTTGTTACCATGGAAATGAAACTTGATGAAGAGCTGCAGGCGCTATTACTTTTGAGTTCTTTACCAGATAGCTAGGAGACTCTGGTGGTCTCATTGAGCAACTCTGCTCCTGAGGAAAAACTGACTTTGACCCAAGTCAAACACAGTATGTTTAATGAAGAAACAAGAAGAAAAGACTATGGGGCAAGCAGTTCCCAAGCCCTGGTCACAGAAACTAGGGAGAGAAGTAAAAGCAGAGGACGGAATAACAAATCCAGAAATAAATCAGAATCTCAACCCAGAAGAAAATTCAAGTGTTATCACTGCGGTGAAAAAGGGCATATAAAAAGAAACTGCAAAGTCTGGAAGAACAGGGGTTGGAGAAACAACAAGTCAGAGAACGATAAAAGTACCGCAACCCCTGTGATCAATGCGGAAGTGGTGTTGCTCTCTGTTGAAGAAGAAGAGAGTCATGTTGCAGATTCATGTGTTGAATGGGTTATTGACTCAGCAGCATCATTCCATGCAACCTCTCACAAGGAATTCTTTTCTTCTATACAAAGAAGGAGACTTTGGTAGAGTAAAGATGGGCAAAAACAACATTACAAATATTGTGGGAGTTGGTGATGTATGCATTCAAACTGATATTGGGTGCACAATAACACTAAAGGATGTGCGATATGTACCTGACTTACGTCTGAATTTGAACTCTATGCATGCTTTGTATCTAGCAGGCTAACAATTTTGATAGCGGCAAATAGAGGCTTACCAGAGGATCATTGTTAGCTACTAGAGGCACAGTGAGATCGACACTGTACAGAACTTAAGTGAAGGTGATCAAGGATGGATTGAATGCAGTCGAGGATGATGCTTCGCCAAATTTGTGGCACAGAATACTGGCTCATATAGGTGAAAAAGGATTACAAATTTTGCCAAGAAAGTCCTATATCCCATTTGCCAAAGATTCAAAACTAAATCCTTGTGATTATTGTCTTTTTAGGAAGCATCATCGAGTGCCTTTCAGCAAAACCTTGAAGCTGAAAGAGAATGTGTTGGAGATGGTGTATTCTGATGTATGTGGACCCATGGAAGTGGAGAGTCTCGGTGGTAGCAGATATTTTGTGACATTCATTGATGATGCTTCATGAAAATTGTGGGTGTACTTCTTGAGAATGAAGAACGAAGTTATTTAGTACTTCAAAAGGTTTCATGTTATGGTGGAGAGACAGACTGGTAAACCTTTGAACGTCTTCGCTCAGATAATGGGAGGGAGTATATTTCCCATGAATTCCAGAATTATTGTACTGATCATGGAATCAGGCATGAGAAGACTGTACCTGGAACCCAACAACATAATGGTGTTGCTGAAAGAAACAATAAAACCAATATGGAGAAAGTGAGATGTATGTTAAGAATGGCTA